GTGTGGAGAACCTGGATTGATGTCTGGTTCCTCTCAGTCCTGAGAACGAACACCCTCTCAAAACAAAGAACACAAACAAAAGCCTTCCCCCCTCAAGATTTGAAAGTATCTTGTCCCCTTATTGGTCCTTTAGGTTAGATGCCAGCCAGGTTACCTGAGCTTCTTAACCCTTTACAGGGAAAAGGATTTTGGAGTCTCTGGCCAGGAGGGATTTTATAGTACTGTACACAGGACAGCTGTTACCCTTCCCTTTATAGTTATGACATAGGCAGTAACAGTACCCTCTCTTTTGTATCGTATCCCTTGTTAATAAAGGTGTCTCATGTTTTCTTCCTGCAGATCTGTGAACTAGGTCGCTGCTAGGCTGAAGGAGGGAAGATAAGTGTTCAGACTGCAGTGGGTGTGACACCTCCCACCAGCAAGATATCAAAGGCCTTTCAAAAAAAATAAAATGGAGGGGGCAGAGAGGCAGGAATGAACCAATGTAGAACAAAATATGCCAGAAGCCATGAGGATTTTTCTGCTGCCTCCTTTCACAAATTTTCCCTTCCTGTGAAACCATGAGCACAAATGTGATGGGAGTTAGTCCCATTACCTAGGCACTACATGTCCTAATGGAAGGCACTCAGGCGCAGACGAACGGTGATGAGCGCAGTATATTGAACAGAACAGAACAGGCTGTGGGACTCCCAGTTAATAAGTGAAAAGGTCTTACCTGCTTAAGCAGAGGGGAGAGCTTCAAGACTGCTGTGTCCTGTGGTTAAAGAACCAGGAAGGCTCTCTGGCTCCTGGGAAGAAATATAAACCGATATATTCCATTTATTCTCAGATGACATCACAGGGCGTCTGATACGATATACATTTAATAATGTCCCTGCCCAGGCCATTTCCCCATCACTATTTTCCAAAGATTGGTAATTTAAGATACAATAACCCAGATCCTCTGCTGTGCCCAGCCTCCTCTGAATGCAGCAGGTGGGGGGAGCTCCAAGGAGCTGTTTGCAGACTGGCCCTGGTAGAGACATCTAGGAGCTGTTCTAAAGGAAGCCAGTTGGTAATGTCCCCAAAAAGACATCTGTCAGATGGGGACGGCTGCATCACAGCATGCTCCAGCCATGCCCCTACACTGGGGAGCCTATGAACTGTCTATCCTGTCTGAGGATTTTCCCATCTCGGGGGAATCTTGAGCAGTGGAGATACAGCCATTTATGGTGAAAAAAAAAAAAGAGTGGCAGAGGACAACATCCTGGCCTGATATTTTGCAATCTCTCAGAAGCCAAAGGATCATTCTCCCAACTAGCCCTTTACTCTCCTCCACTCACAAAATCCTCACGTTGCACTAACTAGCCTGCTGGCTGAGAAGGGCCGGGGAGAGTTCCCATTGGGGTCCAGCCGTGCTGCTGCTAGTTAGAGCTCTTGAGAAAATGATCTGAGATGTAGCCTCACCCCTACAGGAGGCTGAGCATGGTCCTGTTTCCTCAGCAGAGCACAGAAGGAAACGATCAGGCTGAGGTCTCAGATTGAGATAACTCCTGTCGGTCTGGGTTGTCCTACCAGAAGACCACCCGGGACTGGTCGCAGACCTGTTGTACTTTAATTTTAGTATGTCACGCATTACATTGGCCAGGTACATAGTTAAACTTGAAGTGTAAAACAGCTGAATGGGTTTGCTACTCCTGAAGGTCCTGTTCATGCAGGGGATGCTTGCTGCGATTCCTGTTATTTTTTAATACTAGAAGTGAGGATGAAAACATCACCCCCGCACCCTTAACCACTGCCACCAGCTCTCCCATTCATTTCAGGTTCCACATCCACAGCTGCCATTGTTGTTTCTTAATTCCTCCATGGACCTGACTTAGTCGTCCGCCGGGACTCTCTTTCTCTCCCTCACCATCCCTTTGCCCATCTATCCCCTGCTTGTTCTGTGAACCTTGCT